TTAATTTTCTAAAAAATGTAACAATTTTTTTCAGTGTATATTTTTTTTCTCTTTAAAGTCCAACCAATTTATAAAATAACGAACATTTTGGATGGCTCGAGTGACACTTGCCTTTGCCACGTCTACTGAGGATTCATATTTCTAAAAATATCATCTATTAATGAAACAGTCATCGGTCGTCATTGAAAAGCAATGCAACTATGTTATGTCAATCTTATTGAAACTTGAATTTGGCTCTGCCATCTTGTGAATTTTAGCTACAACGGCCTCTTTTATGATTTTTATCTCTCAATCTTATTTATTATTTATCTCTGGAATATATGCAAACACTATGTTTGAAAGAAATTTCTAGAACAGTATAAGGAACATTACGCCGTAGACTACAGGGTGTTCGGTTCCTTAGTGCAAATAATTTAAAGGGCGATAGACGATCATATTTGAAGTAAAAAATTGTTCTACGCATATGATCAAATCTCAAAGATTACTGAGTTATTGAACTTTTTCTGTTTTGGTCTATGCTTGCCATAAATTGGCTCTAACTCGAAAACTATCAGAGTTGGTTGGAAATGCTAACATGAAGCTTTAGTGTGATAATTTATTAGCTAGAGAATGATCTTTAGAAGAGGGTAGGTGGATAGTTCCGTTAGAGTACGGCAGTATGAAAATTGAATAGAAGTTGAAAATGAGCGAAGGGCCATTAATGCGACAGTTTTTTTAAAGTTAGACGCATATCTTTTGCCTAACCCGTACGATGTACGCGGAGACTTGAAGTATGTCTCCAAGTCTACAGGCAAAAAATGTGCGTCCCTCTTTTGCTCATAAACTGACTGCGGCTGTGGAATAGTTCTAGCGACGTTTTCATCACTACCTAAAGCCCCACGTTGCGAGGGCATTTCCAGTCGATGGTGTGTTATAATGCAATTCTTCTTTACCCAACTATTGTGTTGCTCCTCTCGTCAAACTATGCCATTTAGCACAAAATTCTTGCCTTTATTGAACAATTTGGTAAATTTCCTACTTAATAGTGTCATTTTTACTTTAAGTAAGCTGCATTTAGACACATTTGAGGGATAAACGAGTCTAAAAGTTGTATTTTCTTACGGGTTTTCCCATATTATTTAAAAAAATACTTAATAAAGTGTATTGTTTTGTCTAACCAAAAGATGCCTCTCAATGCGCTCTACAACTCTTTGTTTGACACCAATTTTTTATCTTGTTTAGTTTTGTCGCAATTTTGTACTAAACACATCATGTTGGGTCGTTAATTAACGGTTGCGTAAAACACGAATTCAACCCTACCGTGCATTGCTGTTGACGTCTGTTTGCAGCGCGCATAGCACACTTGATCGCCACGCGGAGTGACGGTATGAAAAGTGTGACAAGAAAAACAATTCTGCGGACGGTTAAATTGAACGCATGATGAAAATTGAAAATGTTCTGTTTTTTTCTCGATACCCATGTAGATCAGTTCATTGAACTGATTGGGTATTTTCCAATGATTAATCAAATTGAAACACTGATCTTCGTTTCTATCATAAATTTATTTCAATAGTTGCTCTATCGGTCCTCCTTCCGGTCTCTTCCACAAGGTTTATATTATTCATCTTCTCTTGTATCTTTTGAGCAGCAAGAATCGCGTGTTGATTGTCACCGAATACACCTCTTCCTTTATGTACCCTTGTGGAAGAAACCGGAAGGAGGTTCAGGTACTGCATCCAAGAAAATGGAGGACACATAGAGCAACTATTGAAATAAATTTATTAAAGAAACGAAGACATTGATAAATTTGAGTAATCATTGGAAAATACACAATCAGTTCAATAACATATACTCAGCCCGAGAAAAATAGTTAAGTCCTACCGGGAGATGAAACTAGGATCAATACCAGGCTGCAATTGTAGAAAATCATCAGTAATAGAACTCGGGTAAAACGGTACGGAAAATAAAAATATGTTTACAAAAATGTGACAAATGCTGGATCCGGTTCCGAAAAAAAAATGATAACTGCTTTAGGGATCGCTCCGATCGTCGGTCGTAGTGGATTGCAGTACTGTTAAGGGCTCGGTGGCCTAGTGACGATCGTTTATGCTTATTGAGCAGAAGATCATAGGCTAGCCAAGCCTCTTTGCATTACACTGAGTTTCCGGGCCTTTATTTTAGAAAACCGTTATTGATATAATTATTAAATTGAAAGATCGTCGATTGTAGCTTAATGTGACGTCAGGGGCACGGTAGCCCTTGAGTGGCCGTTTTTTTCTCTAACTGGGCAGAATATCTGAGTTGATAGGGTCACGTCGATTGCTATAACCATGCTTAACAAGATCGCATTACTTTCCAGCAGGGTTGCTTCCACTCACTTGCTATAAAAAAATGATTTCCTGAATTTTGAAATAATTAGATGTAATAATGATGTTTTGTTCTTGTTAGATTCAAGAACAGGTTAAAAGGCAAGTGTTTGACTCATAAAACCTGTCAATTTCACTACCAGAGTGTAACAATCAGCGATCTTATGATTCGTGAGCGTTCACTCAGAGTGAGCGCTCGCGAGCCGTAAAATCGCTGATTGTGGCTGTCTGAAAGCAAATTTGACAGGTTTCACGTGTCAAACACTTGCCTTTCAACCTCTTCTTGTATCTAACAAGTACAAAATATAATTATAACATATATTAATTTCAAAATTCAGAAAATAATGTTTTTATAGCAAGTGAGTGGAAGCAAGCCTGCTTTCCAGAGTGATTCGAAACATAATTCACTCTTCCAACTAACAAGAACTTCTTTCCCGTGACAACCATGTAGATGCAGAGGTATACTCGGTCTCAAGTAAATGCGGGTGTCAAGCTTACAATTCTTTTCCTCCCCAATGATCGTAAGGATAGCACTAATTCTCCGGAGTTTGCACAATGTGAATGCATTGGTAATCACAAGTCCCATTAATTTGGATTATCGGGCAAATTTCTATCAATCTGGTCATCAATCTGGAACTACGAATTGTACGGCCATCAATAATCATGATGATGCTCACGTTCTGAAATGCTGGCGGAACTGTATGGTTAAGGTGAAAGTGACCTAGTAAGTAAATACAAATTTCATAAATGGTTACCTCTGAGTCATGACTTTAGATTGCAAAAAGCTCTTGTCGATGAGTTCCTTTTATTATTTTGCACAAAACGAGAGCATTTTTCCGATCGGAAGTGATGTTATAGAGTAAAGCATTTTTGAAATCTTTATTTACTCCCTAGGTCAGTAGACAAATTAAGGTAATGAATTCACACAAATTTAGGATCGGTTCATATAACATCTTTTCTTAGTAAAAATTCGCAAGGAAACATTATTCAGCTATTTGAGTAAACTAAGTTTACATAAATTGGAGTGAAATCAGAATTAATGCTATCTGAACATTGATTAATGCCTTGATTTTCCTACTATTGGTTTATGATATGTGGGCGAAATGGCTTTAAGGATGACATATTAGAGTGATGCAAAATTTTAAATTTTCGCTCCACAATACTTAAACGATTCCAAATCGGATCCTGACTAATCTCTCAAAATTTGAACCCATTTGGTGAGAGACTGAGATGGCACAAACCATTTGAAGTTTGTATGGGAATTACTATGGTAAATCCAAGATTTTTGTTCATGTCTATCTAATAATTCACCATATCGGTCTGCTTCAAAAACTTTCAACTGTTCTTGTAGGAAATTTTCCCAGCTACAACTTTGCTCAAGACCACTTTTTGATTAAATGCAAGGATCGAAAGTTATCCATGGTTCAATGCGCTGATGTCTTATGATCATGCTCAATCAACTGCTCAGCAGGCAACATTGGTGTTTCTGGGGCGTTGAATAGGACACAAAAATCATGGCTACTATGTCACACTGCAAAATACAGTGTTGCCTACAGAGCAGCTGCTTGAACATGTCATAAGTTTACCAATCTCTTAAATAATTAATAACTTTTTCCTGTCTCATTTTACATAGAAACGATCTTGAGCAAAGTTGTAGCTGAGAAAATTTTCTATAAGAATGGCTATCGAACTGTTTCGCAGCTCAATATGGAAAAGGACTAGAAGGCAATGAGCAAAAAGTTTAGATGTCCCATAGTAATTTACGTGTAAACTTCAAATGGTTTGTGCGAAGTCTGTTTCTAGCCAAATGAGATGTAACTTTGGGAGGCTAATCAGGACCCGATTTGAAACCATTTAAGCACTGTGGAGCGAAAAAGTCAAATTTTGCATTAGTCTAATGCCAAATGGATTTAAAAATTCGACCCATCGATAAAAACCTTCTGTTAATCAATTTTTTCGTAGAACAATGGGACATCTGGACAACACAAATGAGAATTTTTGGGTGCTAGTGAAACATTTTCCAAAAATGCTTTCGTTTGTAATTTATGTATGGGCCCAATATTAGGGACACTAGCTCTATATGCTAATTTTGGTTTGGAGAGTTGAAACATTGGTTTTGACAGCCGGTAGGTAACTCAACTAGGGTTCTTACCTCATATACTAACCAAGCGACTGTTAAAATTAGCTGTGTCTGTTTGGAACAATTCACCAAAGTGAGGCATTCATTAACCATCTCCGCCTATTCGTGCGGGTTAACTGAAAAACTATCCGAACATTCTCTTTAAGGTCACTTCGCAGTCATGTTGAATAATTTATGTATGTTTATTCTTATTCCAACTAACCTAACCAGCATGGTGCTGTTACCCCTCTCTTCCCCGCGTTACACATTCGTCCACACTTGAGTAAACAACATCCAGCCAGGGGGGTAAATCAGATTAGGCTTAACGACCGGCCAATGCCTTGTAGCATTTTTTCTTCAGCCTTGTTTCCTAGCGAAATTCCATTGCCCTATTTTTAGCCCCTGTCAAATCGATATTCTCACGCATTTGCCTCTATTATCACCTCAAGCGACAACAATACTTTCCACCACGATGCAACGACAACAATTACAACTAACATCTGCCGAATAAACGATATCGCTCACTTTTAACTTACCAATGCATAAAACCACCGCCAAGCAAACTGCCGATGAGCTGAGCGGTCGTATTCTGCTATCCATTGGCGTTTTTGTTTTCTTCTCTGGCGTCTGTCCTACCCACGAAGATGGTGGTAGTTGTTGGTTCGTGTTATAATTAAAAACCGAAGATTGCCAGATATCCGTAGTTCTCCGATGCACGCGACGATCGCGATAATCTCGTTCTGATTAACAACACACTCTTGATTACTGCACTTGAACTTCAGCTGGCACGCGACTGGCGGCGTGGGTGGTAGGTTGGGAATTTGAGTCAAAATTTTACTTTCGTTTGAGATGCTTTGCTTGACACGTTACATCACGGGCCGAACAGCGACGCTTGAATGTTCGGCAGGCGTTTCTCGGCGAAGCGTTATAATGTACGTACTGTGCACCGCAGAGAGAATAAGAGAGCGGTCGGTTCTCTCAGCGTTGTCTTCTTGCTGACTAGGGTAAGGGGGCGAATATGTGCGCTGGCTGTTGCTATCAGCTAGTTTGTTATTATGGTCTAGCATGGTTCCGAGCGAGGTTCCGAGCTTGATGTGTACTGACTGATACCCAATAGGTTGGTTTAAAATACCGATTTTGCTCCACCAAGCTCAATCGCCTCCAAATCATGTTCTGATAATTCTCTCAAAATTTTAGTTCATTTCGATGCGAACTCATACTGCACTGGCCCTTCGAAGTTTATATCAAAATTATTATGGGAAAAGTGAAAAGTTTGTTCTCACCGTTCTAGCTAGTTTGCTATCGTTTTTTTTTTACGTAGGAAATGTTTCAAATGTAAATTTTACATTTTCAAATGTAACATTTATTTCTATATGGGGGTACAGTTTGTGAAAACCGAAAATGGAACATGTGACATAATTATGAAATATTTTGAACGTTAATAACTCAGCTGCACCTGGGCCATTTTCAATACTTTTATCACCAATCGATCAGAAATACTCCTACGCATTTGTTAAAATCAAGACTTTATCGTTTTTCAAAATTATACTATTGAAAATTGAACGAATGTGCAACTGTTGATATGATAAAATTATCACCAATTGCCTGCAAAAAACGATTCATCTAACACAGATTTCAAAGTTGAATTCCATCCGGTCTCACCAAATGGTGTTTATTCAACCACTGCGTGGTGAGTGATGGTTTTCTCCGGTACACAACAAAAGGCTGCCTGCAAGCAGCGAGCTGCTGCTCACATGAGCAACCATAGAAGGAGAAAGAACCCGCACCACTATTGATCGGAATCAGTAGCTCTTCGTGAGTCGCTGTGGGCCATCAATGTCAAGCGTGTCATACTAAAGAATATAAACAGAGAGAACCCTGCTAAAATTCCTATTCCTACACAAAGCACAAGCACCTGCTGCAGTTAACAAATAAGATTTATTATATAAGACCACGTAGACCTACGTCACCATTGCGTACAACCTCAAAGGGCTGTCCCTTGTAGTTTTTTAATCATTTATTTGATAAGGCTCAATTGAATTCACTTTACAGAGCCGAGGATTCTTGTTCACTATACAATACATCTTAAAACTATAGTCAAAAGGTACAACACAATAAACATTTTATCTTCCGCTAAACAAAAAGCCTCCTCCACCACAACGGGAGCCGCTTCCAGTGGTTTCATTGTATGGCAGATTCGCCAACGGGGTTCAGAACACTTCCATTGCAGCAATGGACGCAAAACGTGGTCAGCACTCGAAACACTCATCACTAAATGGTTGCTTTCCAAAATCGACTACGCATCAACTGAAAGAGCTGCTGATGAAGAACAATGACGAGAACCACACAATGGTTGCTGCCAAGTAAACAGACGATTGCGTGACACACATTGAGAGTGGTCTGCTTCTGTTGACAACCGAGTGAACGCTGATTTGGAAATGACTAAAATATATACGTACCCTAATTAACAAAGCACAAGCAATAAAAAATCTCAAATTGGCCACTAAATACTACAGGGGTGCACCATTAAACAAAAAACAAGTTGCAATAGAAATGAAGAAAAAGGCAATAAACAAATAAAAAGCTTCTTTTAATAATTTGAATGTGAGCGGTAAAAATGGCAAAAAGGGCAATAGTAAATAAAATACGCTCAATTATTTAAGGATGAATCTCCACTAAATTAGGAAATTTGAGCACTAAATAACTCACTTTCGTCACCTGCAGTTGAAGATATTTTCCCATAAAAGTGGAAAAATGAGAAATATCATATTGAATAACCGCAATAAATAAATCTAAAATGTCCCACACAAAGCGCACAGTTATCACTGTTTTAATCCAATTATGCTGTAAAATCGTGATTATTTCCCCAAGAAAAAAATTAAAATATCTTTTAAAAACTGAAAAAGTTCCAGGAACCAGGAGATAAATGTATGGTTGAACATGAGGATGAGCCATCGTAAAATATGAATCGTTCTTAAAGAAAAGAAAATAATTCATGCAGGAAAGTAAAAATGAGCAATTAAAAACGAACACTGCGCAATATAAAATAAAACAAAATTCCAATGATATTCAGGAAATATTCCTTTAAATTGAAAGTTTATGAGCCAATAACCCAGATCAATTTCCATATGGTATTTTCAAGACAGCGATAAGTAGTGATACTGTGTCTTGGCTAACAAAGTCGATGTCGATAAAGAAGATTAACGAATGTGGGTCTCATTGAAAAAGGTACCATTAAACAAAATCAAAAGAGCACTAAAAACAGCTGTTTGAGCAATATATACGTCAAAAAAGATCACTAGAAAATGCCATTTGAGCAATATAAAGGTAAAAAAGACACAAAAAGCACAATGAATGTCCCAGGGAAAATTTCAAAAACGCTCAACAAAAAATAAGAAATGAGCAAGAAACGTATAAAATAAGCACTCTGAAAAATAAATTGAGCATTTTATTGGCCATGAAGGTCACTAAGAACGAAAACAATATCTTTTGAAAACCTGCAAATCTTCATCGAACCATAGACAAACAGACATAACACTCGCATCTTGTACATCTTGTACATGTGTAAACGTCAAACGCAAGGAAATTAACTATGGGCGCCACCGGCGGAGGTGTTATCAACTAACAAATATTTAAATTGACCGTTAAATGCGTGTTCGATGTACAAGATGCGAGTGTTATGTCTGTTTGTCTATGGTTCGATGAAGATTTGCAGGTTTTCAAAAGATATTGTTTTCGTTCTTAGTGACCTTCATGGCCAATAAAATGCTCAATTTATTTTTCAGAGTGCTAATTTTAAACGTTTCTTGCTCATTTCTTATTTTTTGTTGAGGGTTTTTGAAATTTTCCCTGGGACATTTATTGTGCTTTTTGTGTCTTTTTTTACCTTTATATTGCTCAAATGGCATTTTCTAGTGCTCTTTTGTGACGTATATATTGCTCAAACATCTGTTTTTAGTGCTCTTTTGATTTTGTTTAATGTTACCTTTTTCAGTGAGACCCACATTCGTTAATCTTCTTTATCGACATCGACTTTGTTAGCCAAGACACAGTATTACTACTTATCGCTGTCTTGAAAATACCATATGGAAATTGATCTGGGTTATTGGCTCATAAACTTTCAATTTAAAGGAATATTTCCTGAATATCATTGGAATTTTGTTTTAATTTATATTGCGCAGTGTTCGTTTTTAATTGCTCATTTTTACTTTCCTGCATGAATTATTTTCTTTTCTTTAAGAACGATTCATATTTTACGATGGCTCATCCTCATGTTCAACCATACATTTATCTCCTGGTTCCTGGAACTTTTTCAGTTTTTAAAAGATATTTTAATTTTTTTCTTGGGGAAATAATCACGATTTTACAGCATAATTGGATTAAAACAGTGATAACTGTGCGCTTTGTGTGGGACATTTTAGATTTATTTATTGCGGTTATTCAATATGATATTGCTCATTTTTCCACTTTTATGGGAAAATATCTTCAACTGCAGGTGACGAAAGTGAGTTATTTAGTGCTCAAATTTCCTAATTTAGTGGAGATGCATCCTTAAATAATTGAGCGTATTTTATTTACTATTGCCCTTTTTGCCATTTTTACCGCTCACATTCAAATTATTAAAAGAGGCTTTTTATTTGTTTATTGCCTTTTTCTTCATTTCTATTGCAACTTGTTTTTTGTTTATTGGTGCACCCCTGTACGGCTATATCAGTGTGTGTAAGTTCTGATGAGGCCCGCATGTAGCCAAAAAGGCGAAATAACTTGTCTATGGTTACTTGGGTAGCCCGGACTTTTTGGCCTATTCTTCGGGAAAAGTACACCAATAACGAATATAAGACAAAAGGTCGAAGGAGAAAAGGTCGAAGGTCGAAAGGTTCAAGGACTAAAGGTCGAAGGACTAAAGATCGTAGGACAAATGGTCCAAGAACAAAAGGTCAAGGGACAACGGTCCAATTGATCTTAGATGGACAAAATGTCGAAAGAAGAAAAAATGAACTGAAGTTAGAGGGACAAAAGGTAAAATGGAAAAAGGGTTGAATTGAACTTAGAGGGACAAAAGGACAAATGGTATGGCCAAGTTGAATGGTCAAAAGGTGGAATTTAACATATAGGGACAAAATGTCACATGTACAAATGGTCAAAGTGGACATAAGTTCAAAAATCCATCATCAGAATTGACAAAAGATTGTTTAGAAAATTTTGGCTCAGAGTTTAAAAGAACTTTAAAAAAATACCATGCAACTACTGCCAAAGAGCTGCTCATGATTTTAAAAAGTAATAAATTTTAGACTAATGCAGTTATTTGTTTCTAGTAACTATTCGTTATCCTAATTTTCCAAATAACTGCTCATGATTAAAAGGAGGAAACATTTTTTAGAGTTACCACCCATTTTATCCTCCAACCAATTGACCAGTTCTACACCTGTTGTCCATTCGACCTATTGTCCTACAACCCTGCTGAACAGCATGGCACAGAAACATCGTCTTTCTATTTAATGAATAACTATTTATCGTGATGTTCAATCAAAACGTGGTCTTGAGCAAAGTTGCAGCTGGGAAAATTTCAAATTTGTACAGATTGCAAAATGTCGCTCAGATAAATACAGCGAACTGCTAAAACGATGTCAACAAAAAGTTCAATTTTCCCATAGTACAGGATGGACTTGATTATCCGGAGGTTCAATTTTTCGGGGCTCGGTTATCCAGAAGAAAATGGCTCGATTATCCGAAGTCATAATTGATTTGCTCTAGTATTGGATTTGATTCGGGTAATCGCAAAAACCATTGATGCATTTTAATCCTTTTGAGCCAATTTGTGCTTGGTGAAATGATATAGAAATGTAATA